CACAGATAATGAAATGTTGGAAACATACAATTTTTGATGTATCTGACATGTACAGATAAATATGGACACGAACACTTTTCTACCAGCAAAATATGCAGTTGACGAAAGGTCAAGTAGTATTACGTGTTCCTAATCGGTCAAAATGTACGTGTTTTATAACAGCCCACACATTCCAACCAAAAATATTCCACAGATATGTTTTAACGAAAGAAAATACGAATTAAATTATATTTTTTTAGTACATACTTATATAAAAATATATATGAGCATTAATACACTCTCGCCCACAATAAAATTGTAGATCAATGCTGATATGAAATTAATACGCTAACGCAATGCTTTTTTTTTGTTTACTTGATAACACCCCTACCTTTGTAACGGTCAATAACCGGCAAACCAAATATGATGTTTGCTTGCTTTAAGATAAACCCGCATGTGTATGCAAATGTCTGCACAAATATGTACATTTCTATATATGAATATGTATGTGTTTACGCATTGTTTGTATCATATTCTACGCGTTCTAATGTCAGGAAGTTAAATTTTTCATACGCATACAAATGAGCTCATTTATTACAGCTTGTTTGTGTAAAAGCCGCTTGTCAACTGGCGAGCCTCGCAACCCCCCGTTGCTTTACCAGCTGGCGCCGCAAATGCTTCTGGCTCGCATAACGGTAATATGCTACAAAATCATTATAAAGACAACAGGAATGTTATATTATAAGCGTACGAGAACTTATTGCCCTCCCTTAAGTTAAAGCGCCTTAAAGTATACTACCAAAAGTGCGTGCGTTGGCTGCTTAAATAAAAAGCAAAAAATACTTCCCACATATATTAATTAATAGAAAGATAGAAACAATGAATGACAAACTCAAATACCAATACAAAAAAATATTACTTAATTAAAAGCACTTTGTGTGAGGTAGAAGGCACATTTTATTGGGTCAGCTAGAAAGTTTTGTAAAATCATGCCGAGCAGTGGCGCCACTCGCGTGCAATTGGGTATGAGAGCATTGCTGTATTGCTTGCTCAGCCTGCATGTGTATTAATGACCTGCAACAACACGGCGCAAAAGTGCCGTTTTCACTTTCATTTTCCGTGCCGCTATGGCAGGGCGTCAAAACAACATGCAAACATATGTATGGATATGTGTGTGTATGTAGGCGATAGGGTCAAAGACCGCTGTGCATTAAGGCTGTTGTTGTTGCATGTGTAGCTCGCTCTAGTAAAAGCTCTAGCGTGCAGCTTTTTGCTGGAAACAGTCGCCTATCAAAGAAAAAAATGCAACTTGAATACAAAAAAGCTCGAAACAAAACTGTTTATATAATATACTATGCATATATATAAAATATGTGTATGTATATTATATACATATACATTTGTTTTAATCTATTTTGTATACTATGTATTCGCAGCGCAAAAAGTCAATAAAAATAATTGAAGCGAAGTGTGCTATAAAGATTTCTTGTTTTACCTGCCACAATGCTACCTACATATATTGATGTGTTTATGGTATGTATGTATTTATGTGCGCAAATATTTTTACTTTTCAGTTTTTTATGAGTTTACATGTTTTGCCTCAACTGTAAACATATTTTATTGAATATATTTTTATGATTGAGCATATTCAACTATAATTAGACGCAATTCGTTATCAAAGTGTGCTTCTTCTTATATAAGACCAGCCTTCTTATTTATTTATAAAATTCATTCAATCAATATGTGTGTGTACTTTTTTGCATGCATTGATACATACACACGCCCCTACATATACATTATATAATATAAATAATATGTACGAACAATCTTGATTTCTAATGCCTTTGTATGAAAATATAATCAGTCAGACATATACATATGTATATGCATATATATTAAGGTAGCTGTTATTTCCGCATTAATTTTTTTATTTTTCACCCACTGCTGTTTCAGGTTTTTTCTGAAATTTAATTTTTTTTAATTTCTTATTTCATTTTATTTCCCTCTGTTTTTAACAGGTGAAGTTTGGATATTTTGCCTTAAAGCAAATAAACATGGAATTTTGATAACCTGATATTCTAACACACAAGTTTACCCTTTACAAAAAAGGTTTGAATGGTCATTTCATAAAGCATTCCTTTAAAAGTTATACGCAGTTAAAGTGATACAGCAAATGACGTAAGCTGTGTTGCTCATACGGCATGGTGTACTATAAGAATACAGTACAGTTGAACTGCATATATGTAGCTTTTGAAGTAGTGCTCATATGAAAAAATTAATAGGAAGTAAATATTTTATTAGGGAGTTCTGCTTTGAAATTTGTAGGCTCATTCCCATTGGAGCTAAAAGATTTATTCAGAAATAAAAATGTCCTATGTTAAATGCATGCAAAAATATATAGTATACAATTATACATATGTGAGTTACGATTTTGCAGATAAAGTGCCGTTGTCTGTATGCAGAATTATTTTTAGTCATAGCTTAGCGTTGCTATTCAACGATAATCTTTGAACTTTGATTAGATAATATAATACGTTAGTGATTACTAAGTGATTAATTATTTGAAGGGGATTAAAAATGTTTCCACGCAAGTTAAAATTCATTTTTGTTTTTTAAATATATTGATTTAAAGGTTTTTTGTGGGGATTGTAATTTTTTTTTTTAACTTTTAAAAGGCATTTGTTGTTTTAAGAAATTATTTCTTCATCATAAGTATATATAGATATATGTATACATACGATATCAAAATTCCATTTTTTGCCTGTAATTATTATTCTGCTCCCGAGTGAATTTATAAAACTGAAATGAATGCTAAAATATTTTAAATTCTGAAGATTGAAACTTTAAAAACTAGTTCATCGGCGATTTCAGCAGATATTTACAAGTAAAGTTCTATTCAGCTTTTTCGAAAGCAATCCACATGCATATACACTACTATAACAAGTCAATTGAAAAGTCGCGGCTTTATTGGACAAAAATTTCTTCCGAGTGAGCATCATTTTGAGATCTGAGAACAAGCAATAGTCGTTGTGGGCCAGATCTGGAGAGTTCGGTGGATTTGAAAGCAATACGAAGCCCCATTCATGCATTTTTGCCAACGTTTTCACTGACTTCTGACACTGATCATTGTTGTAGTGAAACAACACCTTCCCTTTCTTCAAATGCTGCCATTTTTCGGCGAGATTAGAATGATTTTAAAGCTAAATGTTTTGATACAGTGGACAACCAGGAAAAAATCTATTTCAAGATGCTCATTACTATTTTCGTATAGTATTCTTTCTACCTCATTTCGTGCTATTCAATGAAATTCAAAATTTGAAAACTGATTTCCCATTGTTGGCAAGCATTTTAGTAAATTTGTATTAAAATTTAAATCGTGTGGCAACGCCATAAAATAAATTTTGTAGCATAAACTTTTCATAAATGTGCGGCTTATTTTTAATTTTCGTTTAAATCATTTGTATTTACTAAGTTCAATTGGCACTGTTGTTCAAATTGATAATTGCTGGCTCCTCAAGGAAAGAGGAGTAGGCAGAGAGTGGTATTGATAAGAACTCCAAGGCATACACCATGCCAAGTTGCTAAGGGCGGTTCTAACATCAGCAGGTTTAAATATGTAAAAAAAATACCTCCCTAGGAACAAACTCAAGCTACTTGTCGCACACTACACTGACCATTGTAAGTACAAGAAGCACTTACGCTATATAATTTGAACCTAGCTTCTTGTGCAAATTGCCGGTTCTTCGACATTTAGCCTGAAACTGTAGAATACCTGCTAATTGACTGCGTAGCTGTCTGTAGACGCAGGGTAAATCCCTTTGAATCCATCTTTCCATATAGGTTATCGCTTCACTAGCACCTCGCAGTATATTGGAATTTATCAATATGCTGTTGCCAGCTGATTCGCTGCGACTAAGAAGAGGCTACAATAGGCTTATGTCGCGGTGTGATCCTCAAATATTTATCTCATCGTATCTATGGATAGGTGGTCATCCCATTTCAGCTTATATTTCTATTTTAGGGCTGGAAATCACTTAAAGGTTTTTACCACCATTTATTCACTAATTTTAGATATATTTTTATTTATTTATTTTTTTTTAATTAAATAAGTCATCTGATAACTCTATAATAGTATATTACATTAATATATAAAAAAATATATTAAAACAATTATATTCTTGGTGAAAAAGTAAATGTACTTCGACAAACTATTTTATGAAAACACAGCTGATAATTAGCTGAAAAGGTGAACAAACAAAATATGTATACAAATTAAAAAAGAAAACATGTAAGAAAAACATTTTATTAAAAATATATTGTACACTAATGTTAAAATCAGGATTATGGAAAATTATTTTAGAAAAACCAAAAAAGAAAAAATTATATATATAAAAAATAAAACAAAAATTATAAATACACTTAGGTTAAGTTTGTATTTTTATAAAAATGATTCTAAAATATTTTTATAAAAGTTGTTCCTATGTATATGAAAACAAAAAGTTTGCGCAAACCTATTCATATCGAATATTTTAAGTATGCAAGCATGTTAAACCAAAATCGATCCATATACAAAATTATTAAAAAAAAAATTTTTTTTTTTAAGTTAAATACTAAAGTCTTTACATAACTTATGACCATTGCAACGGTAAATTTTGATCAAAGTACTATATATCTAATACAAGTCGAAGATGAATTTGTTGTTCTACCAAAACTGCACAAGTTCAGAACTTAAAATATTAAATTATGCTGGACGTTTTCAACATAACTACACTCTACATATATTTCTCCTAATAACTGTAAAAGATAATTTACCGTTACATAATATAGCAAATACTTCAATTTTAATTTGTTTTTAAGTTCCAAGAAAGTAGTTTGGACATGTGCGCTTTTTGAACAACAATTTTTCCTCGACTTTAAAAACTATATTGAAAAAGTTTTAAAAACTAAATAACTAATTTATTTTTCTTATTTCTTCTCTTTCTTAAAACCATATTCACACAATACCCAACTTTAACAATCAGAGCGGTATGCTCATGGATGAAGACTCCTTGGATCAAGCACCATCCCCAACACTGTCGGCACAGTCGCCATCTCTCATCAAACCCTTGCATTGTGAAACATCGACGGCTGCCTTGCTGCGTAACTACCGTCACAATCCAATGATTGGGGGACCCGGTGTGCTGCCATCACCACCATTCGGACCGGCTAGCAGTGGCGATAATTCTATCGGCAGCAGCAGTTGCGAAGTAAGCCCACCCGGCCTTACACCGGCCGACAGTGAATCCAATTCAGACAGCGGCATAGATGACATTAGCATGATTGAAGCCGCCTCACCGATTAAGTTACAATTGGAACAACCTAGCAGCCCACTTTTCAAGATATCGACAAATGGTTGCTCGGCTACCACCAAGGATATGCTTTTAATGAAATGCTTGAACAACAAGGCGGCCAAGCAACGTGCTTTGCTTGTTGAGGCACAAGCAAAACAACAGCAGAAAACAACTCCAGCAGGCAACGGTATTGGCAGTTCAGGCGAGAGTAAGACAAATAAGCCTGCTGGCGGTCGTAAAGGTTCGCTGACATCTTACATCGATAATATGAATCCATTAATGGAACCGTTTATAATGGATTTATGTAATGATGATTACGCAGTGGCTACCGAGCCATTGCTGGAACCAACTGAAATCGATCATGTGCTCAATAACTGGAGCCACGAGATGGCTTAGTCGGCGGTGCACATGAACGCTACTAAAACTAAACGGAAAATACGAAACAAACATTTACACAACACGGCAAAGACGAAATCGGCGAAGATACGATGACAAGGCAGACGAAATAGGGACGTTATGTTGGGGGTTAGAAGCAGAGCTTTATAACAAATTCAATGCATTTACACACAGACATATGTGAACGGTAAGGATGGAAATGCGGAAATTATTGTAAAGGTTGCGGGGAGAAGCAATTGGTGCGCGAAAAAAACGAGTTTTAACGGCGTAACTGTAAATAAAGTTATCATTTCGGAAGTTTTCGTGGGGACTCTAGACGAAATTTATAAATAACTTGTGGAAACTACAAGTGATGGCTGAAGCATTATTCAGAGGTTGGCGGCGGTGACGAAGTAGACCGCTATGAAGGAATGAAAGGAAACGGAAACAAACACGAATGGCGTTCGTTCGTCACGGACATTCTAAACAAACTGCGAATTTTTGTTTTTTATAGCTGTACATGTCCACTTTTGGCCATAATTTTTTGTTGACGAATGGAAAGCTAGAGCTTTTGGCTTTGCGTAATAAGCTTAAAGCATACGGAAGACCTGGTAGGGAGGAAAATTGATGGAACGAATATTTTTTTATAAATACTTTTTTTTTCATACGGGACAGTTACAAACAAACATACAATGCAATTAATTTGGTTTCAGGTAAAGAGAAATAAAGAGATTAGAGAGAATAGAGAATACAGAATACAGAAATACAATGAAACTTGATGAAAACAGCAAAAAGTGCACAGACCACTGAGTTGGAACAAAAGAAGAATTTTTAAAGCTTATGCCTCGAAAAAATTTTAATATTGGATTATAACAGCACCAGAAAAGTTTTCGGGTAAAAAAATATTTGGTTGGCATAAATGAGGCGATTTCTTTGGGACAATTCTATTTTCAAAAACAGTAAAAGAGAAGCTATGGAATATGTTTCGAGACAAATTGAAAGTTAATGAAGCAATATAAGACAAACACACACAATTAAATTCAAATTTTATTAAAATTACTTCCAAAACTAAATTGCTTCTAACAGTACTTGTTACTAATTGTTCTAAAAATTTTGAAAACATATGTTTTCTTGTTTGAAATCGCTTGGATGCGCTTCATTTGTTCTGTCAGACCGCTGCTTCAAATAATCATATGAAAAATTGAGTGCTGGATTGTTGTTGCTGCAATTTTCAAGTTCGAAATTTTCATGGTTTTTTAATGTTTTCTTAATTTACTAAAATTTTCGAAAAATATTGAAGCTAAACGAGCAGCCACATACATACATACACATAGCAACAACTTTAACATGTTTAACGTAATCAAGAACCCACATAAAAAAAATAAGAAATTTTGTGTAGAGTCAGCAGCAGGAAAACAAAATAATAAAAATTAAAAATAATAAATAATGCATAGTAAAAAACAAACAGAAAAAGAAAATAAAACAAAAAAATTGAACAACAGTAAATATACATTTAAAAACTTTGTTAGTCTTAACTTTTTACTGCCCAAAACAGAAATAAACATTGCGGTTAGTTATGTAAGTGCAAATCTTTATATAGTACGTACAAACATAGATAATTTTGAAAAAAACAAAAAAACAATAATGCAATATTAACAGCAAAAAAAATTTAAAAATAAATTTAAAAAATTTCATAGTTTTTGTGTGCAAAACTTTTAATAAAGATTATTATTGCAAAAATT